CCCCGCCCACAGCTTCAAATCCAAGTCTCAGCTTTCTTTCTGTTGATTTGACTTACTTTTATAGGCAGAAAGTGCCAACCCTCTTATCACTACCTCCCATCCCTTTTTTCCCCTTAGCTGGCAAAGAAAGAAAAGGGCTTGACTTTTAAATTGCCAAATGTATAAAAGAATGGTGGAATTTTTGAGCCGAAATCCTCATAATCTCATCACACCAGATTGTAATCTAGTTTGCTGTTTTAACCTTTGGCTGCAAGGCAGCAGTTTTCCACACAAAGCCTCCCTCCCTCCCACCTAAACTTCCTGAGGCTGAACCTGAACTGCGGTCACTCACTCTCAGACATCCCTGCTTGGCAGCTCGGGGGTAGGCAACTCTGCTACCCTGGCCCGCTTGCTGAGTTCTTCACCAGGGGGCTCCTCAGCTGCTTCCAGCTTGCGTTTGGGGGACGCTGGGCCACTGGGCAGTGGCCTTGGGCCTGTAGGGAAACATGTCAAAGGTCACACAGACTGTGAGTATCACCAAGATGATCCTGGCAGTGGCAGCTCTTCAGAGGACGTGGAATGCCAGCATGCTGCTCCTCAAACCTGCCCCTCAGCCTTCCTTTCAGGAGGGACCTCACCTGGAGGTGTCCAAGGAATATGACCAGCCTGCTGGGAGCAGGGCCACTTTGGGCCCCAAATCCCATAGGCTGCAGGCCAGAGACTGATTTGGCCTGCCTGCCGGCCTCACTCTGAAGGTGAGACATTCCCTCCACCACTCCAGACTGGCCTCCCAGGGCAGCAAAGAGGAGGGCCCCATGGAGGCAGCCTGGACGGGCAACTGGATAAAGCGCTTAGGGCTCTTGCCATCTCATGTTCCTGATCTTCATCCCCAAGCTAAAGGGAAGAGGTTACAAATGCAGCAGATCTGTTCAGTCTCTCTCTCTCGCTGTAGCCCCCGCCCCCAGTCACCTCCTTTCTCACTCCCTGTGCTCACTTCTACCCTGTGCTGTCCACTCTCCACACAGCAGGCAGGGGAGCTTTTGTTTTTTGAAAGCAGGATTTATTGAGAGGACATAAAAACTCCTAGAGCAGGAGGGGACCTGGATTGCCCTGGGGAGCTTTTTAAAAAAACTTCGTCTGCCATGCCCACCTTGCTGACCAGCTTTCGGTGCATGGAGGCCTGAATCCTAATCCCTGTTGTGGAGGATGCTTCTCCTGCTACATCCCATCCTCCCCTCCTCTAGCTCCTCACTGAGGACATGCCATGACACCAGCCTCTCTCTGGTTCCCTGAAAGGGCTAAGCTTGGCTCTGTTTCTGGAACTTTTCTTGCTACTTCCTTTGCCTGGAATGTTCTTTTCTTGGTTCTTGGAAGGACTGGTTCCTGTTCATCACATGAGTCTCATCTCAGAGAGGCTCTCCCTGACTACTCCAGCCTCAAGTAACTCAGAGGCCACCCTCCGCCCCCAGTCCCTCTCTATCAAGACACTGGATTTTATTTTCCCCCAATGCACTTGTTATCTGAAGTGATCCTACTTGTTTCTTTTACTGCCTGACTGCCCCAGGTGGACTATAGCTTTATCATTCAAGGACTCCTGGCCTCAGCCCTGAATGCCTGAAGTGAAGGCAATAGGCCACAGGAGGACAACTGCTTCTCACCTGTACTGCTCATGCTTCCAGCCTGGCTCGAGCTGGGCTCTGCCACGGGGTGACTGAGGTCCTCCACACAGGAAGGCACAGATGCCAGCAGACCTGGGAGACAGGAGGGAATTATCATAAAGCAGTCTCACAGGATTATAAGGGCAGTAGGACACGAAGAAACAAGGGGGGTGGGGAGGGCAGAATCATGACACGGAGGTTCCCTATCTTTCCACTGCTCCATAACTGCTCAGGGAGGCCCAGTCTAGCTCAGCCTGCAGTGTCCTGTGCTCTGGGAAGTCAACTCGACTTAACAGCCTGGAAGACAGCACTTGGTATCACTGAGCATCTGGTCATTCCCATCCATCCCCTCTGAGCCTGCAGGTGCTGGCCCCGCCTTCAGTGAGCTGGGAGGGCAGTGGGGGATAGTGGCTCCTTACAGAGTCCCCGGTAGCGTGACAGCTGCTGATAAATCTGCTTCATTCGTTCAATGTTGAGCCGGCTGGTCTCGGCGTGGTTGACGATGGGCCGCGGGTAGTCCACACCAATGATGCACTTGGCTGCCTTCTGAACAGACTCTGGGGCATTCCAGGGCTCATAGATGTACCGAGAGGGAAACCCTTTCAATCTGGGCAGGTATCGCCTAGAATATACACACAGATGACCTGTCAGCACACCTAGACCCTCCTTCAAAGGGCCACGGGCATCCCATCCTAGGAGAAGGCCACAGTGGTCAGAAGCCAGAGAGCCTGGTCTGCACCCTTACCTGACGTAGTCTCCGCTGGGGTCTGTGCGGCGGCCAAAGCCCACAGGGCAGTAGCAGTGAAAGAACTGCTGGAAGAAAGCACTGCAGGACAGCCACATCCAGCTGCCTGCATTCACACTGAAATCTGCATCCAGGAGCAGCTCATCAAATACCTAGATGGAGGAGGGGGCTAATCAGCCTCCTTGGGGACCTACTGCCATATTCTTCCCAAGTCACCACAGTTTCCCCAGAAGCCAAAGCCCTCCTGCTGAGGGCAAGCCACAGAGGGTCTGGACAGGATCTCCTGGACCCAGGGATCCCACCCCATCCCTCATCCAAGAAGGGGGCTGCCCTTTGCTGGGCCTGACCAGAGGGTACAGGCCAGCTGTCTGCTGAGAGAGCACTCACCCGAACCCCGCTCTCCCAGCTGACCCAGAGGTCCCCGCGGGTGAGGAAGCAGGCCACAGCGTGCCGGGCCAGGTGGTGGATCCAGCCCTCCTGCCTCAGTTGGGTCATGATGGCATCAATCCAAGGGAAGCCTGTCTTGCCCTCGGCCCACTTGGCCAAGGCCTCAGGGTTGCGGTCCCAGGGGATCTGGATGCAGATGGGGTTCCCCTCCATGCGGTCAAACCTGGGGTTGTTGGTGGCTGCCGCGTAGAAGAACTCTCGCCACAGGAGTTGCCCAAATAGGGAGAGCGGGGGTGTGCTGTTCCGCTTCACCTGAGGGGTGGGGATAGCGTGTGGATACAAACACTTGGCCGGCTCTTAGCATGATGTGTCCCTCAGGTCTCTTCCACCATGAGAATCTGGAGCCCCTGCAGACCTGGTGGCTCCAAGCCCCCACAAGAGTTGAACCCTAGAAGTGGCATAGTGTGCCTGTAGGTGCAACACCCGGGCCCTGCCCATGCTGTGCCACTGCTCTGAGCAATAAGAAATCAGCAGAGAGTTGGTCAGCAGGAAGGGACCTGCATTAGGAGTCAAACACCCCAAGGCTTCTTGTCCTCAGGGCTCCTTGTCCGGCTCCATCTTTTAGAAAGTTGAAGGGAGTTTTACTATCAGTGCACATAAAAAATGCTTAGTCTAGAGTTTGGCTAAATAAGTTATATACAAGAGGCTGGATCTCGGGCCATAAGTCTACAAAATCAGACTTTCAAGCAAGTTTTCCTAAAATCACAAGATTGCCCACCAAACTGGTGAAGTGACTCCATGCCACAAAATCCTGATATTGGCAAGAGTAAGCAGATAACATTAAAAAATGTAGGCATGGCTGGGTGCAGTGGCTCATGCCTGTGATCCCAGCACTTTGGGAGGCTGAAGCCAGAGGATTGCTTGAGCCCAGGAGTTTGAGACCAGCCTGGGCAACATAGCAAGACCTTCTCTCTACAAAAAATAAAAAATTTAGCCAGGCGCATCTGAAGTCCCAGATATTCAGGAAGTTGAAGTGTAAGGATCGCGTGACCCAAGGAGGTCGAAACTGTGGTGAGCCGTGATCATGCCACTGCGCTCCAGCCTGGCTGACAGAATGAAACCTTGACTCAAAAAAATAAATAAATAAATAACACAGCCACAAGATGATCTGATGACCCTAAATGTTGGCTGTGTCACCTTCTCTCCTTCTGGGTACACCTAACACAGGCTTATGTGCCACCTAGCCAAATGGCGCGGCCCTGTGAGCAGCCCCTCCAGACCACTCCCTCCATCACTGATGGGCAACCACCACTCCTGGACTCCCCTTCTAAGTGCTCTATACACAGCCTCAGAGAGCGCAGCTGCACTTCTCAGCTTTGGACTGTCTCCAGCCTCACTATCTCTGCTCCCACCCTAGGGGCCTCACCCCTATCCACCTGCTACCTGCGGACCTGCCACCTCTAGGGCCATGCCTGACGCTGCTTTTCTGCCAGTCCTTTTGCTGTGCATGATAACCTGGGTCGCATGTTTATTGGTGATTCAGTGTGTATTTGGCTCTGGCCCTCTTGGATACTGACTCTTGCCCATCTCCCCTCAGCTATCCACACACTAAAGCACCTCCAAGGTCCACAGCCCAGCCCCCATCCCGGGGCTGGAGAGAAGCGCCCTACGTGGAGTCCCTGGCAGGCCAAGAAGGCCCACCAGGCTATGAGTGGGAGTGGACACGGCCCTCACGGTGCCCTCACCTTTTTATAGAGGTCCCACAGGCGGTAGTAGAAGAGGCGGCAGGACAGGCAACCAAAGCGCAGGTAGGGGCTGAGGCCTGTGGGGCTGGCCAGCAGGGAGTTGGCATTCATTCGGGGCCTCTCGTAGTTGGCAACCCAGGCCTGCAGCGGAAAGGGAAGGTTACAAAAGGAAAGGCCTGGATGTCACAGAGGAAGAAATGGAGGCACTGGGTGGTTCAGGGATCGGCCCAAGTCACAGGACAGAAAGCCAGGGGCAGTGCCAGGACTGAACTCTGATCGGCCCACTCCATCATGCCAAGCTGATTTTGAGACAGAACCACCGCCAGACCAAACAATGGGGCCACGTCCTGGCCCTGACTTGCTCCTTAGTTTGTAGCATGATTGTGAGCAAGTTATTACTTCCCTCAGCTACTTATCTATTAACTAAGACAAAATTTCCCATCTCCTGAGTATTAAATTACATGAGAAGGCCGAGCTTGGTGGCTTAGCCTGTAATCCCAGCACTTTGGGAGGCCGAGGTGAGCGGATAGCCTGAGCCTGCGGGTTCAAGACCAGCCAGGAAAACTTGGTGAGAACTTGTCTCTACAATAAATAAAATTAGCCAGGTGTGGTGGTGCGCACCTGTCGTTCCAGTTACTTGGAAGGCTGAGGCAGAAGGATCGTTGGAGCCCAGCACAGCCTGGGCGACAGTGAGACTCCGACGCAAAAAAAAAAAATTAGAGCCGGGCTCGGTGGCTCAGCCTGTAATCCCGCGCCTTTGGGAGGCTGAGGTGAGTGAATTGCCTGAGCCCACGGGTTCGAGACCCACCTGGGCAGCGAGACCTCATCTCTACAATAAATCAAAAAATCAGCTGGGTGTGATGGCGCATGCCTGTAATTCCGGCTACTCAGAAGGCTGAGGCGGAAGGATCGCCGGAGCCCAGCAGGCCGAGGCTGCAGTGGCCGGGAGCGGCCACTGCACTCCAGTCTGGGCGACAGAGAGAGACTCCAACTCAAAAAAAAAAAAAAAAAAAATTAAATAAGACACGAAATAATTCTGAAAGCACTGAATGAATTATAAAAAGGAAAGGAAAAATGGCTTCTACTTTCCAGAAAAAAAAATCCTCTGTCAACCCCTGCTCCAGTCACTAGAGGCCCCTGCGGTTGCTGTTGCACCATGGGCATCAGGGACTTTCGTTACTGTCCAGCAGCAGCGGGGGAAGGAGAAAACCCCAAACCCTTCCTGGAGATCAAGAGGGCCGCTCATTTCTGGGACCACTCGTCATATGGCATCACTGGTCCTGATTCTACCATCAGTGGCTGCTGGCACGGTGCTCTACTTTCCCAGCTTGCCGTTTCCCGCAGGCTCTCACTTGACCTTAACATGCCTCTGAGGTGGCATTTATGACTAACTCCTTTTGAAAATGAGGAAACTAGGCTCAAAGAGTTCTGTGACTCTCTTGGGGGGTTATAGAGGTGGTAAGAGACAGGGTGGGGGACTTGGGCTTCTGACTCCAGATTTCTTCTCTTTCCAGTACATCTAGTAACTATTTTCTGTTTAACACCTGAAACCTCTTTCTCTCCATGATGAACATTTCCCAAACTTTACAGCCTCCTCAGACCTCCTGCTCCCCACCACCCTTCAGAGGATGACCCGCCTTCCCTATGATAAAGGAAACAGAAGCTACCCAAAAGGGAATATCTCAACTCCCAGTCACTGACTCTACAGATCCTCCTGCATCCACACCTCCCTTCTTCCTTCTCCCCTCCTGCGACTATGCCCAAGGCCAAGGCCTCTACCTGCTCTGGGGCCCTCCTCTCTTCCTTCTCTTGCATGTTCAATCTCTTTCTGCAGTTTCAAGCCAAATACATTGGGGAAATGATCTCGTCTCTCCCCTTTGCAAACACAACAAAATAAAACAATAACAAAAGGGCTCTGGGTAACCCTGCAGACCCCCACCCTTGGGTCCCCTTCCCTCCTTCATAGCTGACCTCTCCATCCCCCTCCCCCACCTCCACTTTCTGGCCCACCCCATTCTGGCTTCTGCCTTGACCACTCCATCACGCTGGCTCCCACCAGTCTCCTGCGACTTCTGTGCCACTGAATCCTGAAGGCATTTTCTGTCCTCTCAGCAGCACAGCGCCCCGATGTCCACGCCTGCCTCTACCCTCTTGACTCCTTTGCCACATGTTCTCAGTATCTCCTGGCATCTCCTGGCTGGCTGGCTGCTCTCAATCTTTTGCCAGTTCCACCTCCTCTACCCACCTGTTAAATGCTGGCACCCCAAAGCTCCTTCCCAGGTCTCCTATCCAACTGTGTTCCTAGGCAAGCCCATCCAGCCCCACGGCTCCCAATTCCATCTCTTGACGATAACCACCACGTCTGCGGCTCTAGCCTGGATCGCCCCACCCAGCTGCCTGCTAGAAAAGTCCACCTAGCTGCCTTTCAGGTACCTCAAGGGTGACGTTCTCTTTTTTGTAAACTCAACCTTCTGTTGGTCTCCCTACCTCAGAAATGCACTGTCATTCACCGAGATGACCAGATGTAGCCTGGCCATCACCTCTGACCCCCTCATCAAGTCCTGCCAATTCTACGGCCCAAACATTTCTCAGATCTGTCCTTTTCTTTTCATTCCCTACTGCCATCAACCTGGTTCAGGTGAAGGTCATGTCTAGACTTGGCAACCTCCTGGCATCCACTGCCGCTCTCCACACTGGGACCAGAGTGATTGAAAGATGCCTGTCCCTTGGGACAGTATGCACAGTGGGCCTCCTGCTGCTCTGAGGATAGTCCCTGTTGTCCCTGATCTTCACCAAGGCTGTGGCTCACCAGCACCCATGTCTTTCCAGCCTCGGCTCCCCTCACTCCTCCAGTGAGTGTCCTCTACAGGCCTCTACACACACAGCAGCTCCCTTCACCTGGAATGCGGTCTTCCTTTCCCTCATCTTCACTTGTTCACTAAAGTGACCCAGAGGCTGCCTCCTCGGTAGGTGATTCCTGAGGCATTAGGTGAAACGCATCTAACAGACACCAGGTAGTCCTGCCTGCACACACCCTTGCTACCACCTTCTTTTAAAATGTTTTCGTTTTATATGAAACAGATTCAGAAAGTCATACAATGAGTGGCTTAATAACTGTTCTAAGACAAACACCCTCCTTCATAGCTGACCACCAAAGTTCAAGCAACAGAGCTCTGCCAGCCGCCCCAGGCTGTCTATGTCTCATCACAGGAACAGCCCCTCCATCCCCCATAAGTAACCTCCACCCCACCTTTTATAATAATCACTTTCTGCAGTTAAGAAATGTTCACATTTTTCTCTTTTGGCCAAGCATGTTTGGAAGGGAGGGCTTTTCTTCTCAGTTATTCCTTGCATTTTAAAGTAGCTGCTTTTTAAAAAAAAAATTTCACCCAAATGGATAGCCCTGGGTAGAGCTATAGCTTGGTCTTGTCCATTTCAAAACCTTTCGAATGTTAAGTTTTTTTTAATCTACACATTTCCTGTCATCTTTTTCCTTTCATTTTTCTGTAGAAGAACCCAGGCCATCTAAAGCTCTTGATGTGGACACTGGGTCTTGTCCTTTCAAGTCTGTGAGGCTTGCTTTTGGCCCTGGCCGATGGTAACAACCAGATCAAGGCTTCTGGGCCTTCACTGCTGGCGAAGGCCTTCAGCGCTGGGAGAATGCTCTTCCCAAGCAGGTCCAGGAATGCCTGGACTGTAAGGGCCCTTTCTATAAAGCAGCTGCAGGGGGCAGGAAACTAAGAGCTGACTATTCTGTCATGAGAACCTTCTGTGCTCCTCTAGCGACAGGGTGGTGAGGCCGGGTGACGCTGCTGAATGCCTCTGGGGCCTGGGCCTCTGTCCTAGCCGATCCCCACTGCCCTGAGAGGTGGGCCATTTGCTCTCCATGTCCAAGTGAATGAAATCAATGTCCCGGAGGAGACCCAGCAAAAGGTGGGGACGATCAACCCAAAATAACCTTATGGACTTGACTAACCAGATACCCTCTCGGTAGGGGAAACCTGCCCTCAGATGAAAGAAAAGCAATCTAGCATGAGCTTAGAACCACATATAACCCAGCCTCACTCTATTATAGGTTGAGCATTCCTAATTTGAAATTTCAAAATCCAAAATACTTCTGGTCTCAAGCATTTCAGATAAGGAACATTCAACCTGTACTTACTAACTGTGTGACCTCAGGCTAGTTACTTAACCTAAGCTTCAATTTTGTAATCTGTATAAGGGAGATTTTAATATCTACCTTGTAGGGCTGTTGGGAAGATGAAAGGAAATAATGCCATTGGGTGCTTGCCCCAGAAATGCTCAGTCCAATGTCCAGCACATGGTAAGTCTCTCTAAATGTCACTATTTGTTGTTGCTGCTGTTGTTTTTGCCATCAGGAGGATTTATCATTCTTCACCAGCATGTAGTCAGAGGCACTAAGGGACATGACCCTGACCCATATCTCCTACTACGCGGGTATCAGAAACGGGGTTCATACCTTCCGTTCCAAGTGTTTATCCAGGCGGGCCAGAGCTTCTGTCTCTCCTCCTTGCCAGACAGCTGGGCCAAGTCCTTCCGTGGGGAACCCTACAAAAGGAGGACTAGGTCATGGGGCTGGAGGTGGTTAGACCATGTCAGTGACAGCTCAGCAAGTCTAGACACACTGATCTGTACTTTGAACTTGGTGAGAACTGAACCATAGTGTCTGGGTGTTCCCAGAAATGAGATCATCCCTAAAGCTAATAGTGTTTTCTAGGTCATCCTGGTTCTCTTCCCACTGCACTATTTTCTCTCCTTTCCCTTGGCTTCCCCACCCTAGTCCCTCATCATTCCAGGCAGATGAAAGCAATCCTGGACTTCTCACCATTTTGGATTAGCTAGTTTTCAGGTGAAAAAGGCTAATAGCTTTGTTCAAATGAAAAGGTGGAGAGTGGTGGGAAGGAAGAGGGAGGGGTGAAAGGGTGTAGTCAGAAACCCGAGCGTCCAAAAGCACTCTGCTTCAATTGGAGCAATACTAGTTATCCTGTTACGGATAGGCCCACGGGCATGGGCACCAGCACCAGACACTGCCTACATTGTCTGAGAGAGAGAAGTGCAAAAACAGAGGCACAATCTAAAGACAAAAGATTATAAGTATAAGCAGAAGAAAGCCCGGAAGGACAGTCTAGAGTTCATAGTGGTTATCTCCAGGTGGCGAGGCTAATGGTGATTGATATTTCCATTTTTGTTTTTCTGTATTTTCTAACCTTTCTGAAATAACATGCATTACTCTGACAAAGAAGAAAAAACACCAATATGTTTCTTTCTACAAAAGGCAGTGCTAGCATAAGAGGCTGTGGGCAGGAAGCACGCACCCAGCTCCTCCAGGGAGGGCACGCCATAGGTTTCATCGTGGTTCTCCTGGATCTCGGCTCTGCAGCTCTCCATCTGCTGGCTGGTCACTGAGCCCACAGGCTTCTTGGGCAGCTCCATGCGGCTGATGATGGCCTGAAAGCGCTTGTAGGTGAGGGGTGGCTTCTGCCCATTTAGCTCAATGATCCTGGGGGACCCAAAGCACAGCTAGCATCACTCATAGGCCCTTTGTTTCGGATCCCTGCCCACCCAAAAAAGAGTCCAGACTCTGCAGGATCTGAGGGTGCCTTTCTTCATCTTGTGGGTCCCACCTGAGTGGAAAGTAGGGGACAAGGGAAGCTGCATCTCCATTTTACCAAGAGGGAAAATGAAGCCCAGAGAGTTGGAGCAGGTGCCTCAGGTAATGGAGCAAGGCAGGGCCAAAGCTGGGACTCAATTCCAGGTTCCCTGATTTCGACGTGGAGCCGCCTAGAGACAGAGACTGACTAGATTTCTCTGATCACAGAAAAATTCCCACTAGCCTTCTTGGCACTTGGCCCGTCCGTCAAGCCAGGGGAATCCCTGCAGGCCTCTACCCCAGCACAAGCCTTAGTGGAAGTTCTTTGATACGAGCTGCAAACATGTTCCTTTCCTGGAAACTCATCCTCTTCTTAGCTCCCAATTATTAGAACAGAGAGGTGGAGGCGGCTTATCCTCCCTAATCAGAGACGAGCTGGAGTTCATAGCAACAACTAATACTTAAAGATGGTCTTAGCCGGGCTCGGTGGCTCAGCCTGTAATCCCGCACCTTGGGAGGCTGAGGTGAGTGGATTGCCTGAGCCCGCAGGTTTGAGACACGCCTGGGCAACTTGGCGAGACCTCACCTCTACAATAAATCAAAAATCAGCCAGGCGTGGTAGTGCACGTCTGTAGTTCCAGCTACTTGGAAGGCTGAGGTGGAAGGATCTCTGGAGCCCAGCAGGTCGAGGCTGCAGTGGCCGGGAGCGGCCACTGCACTCCAGTCTGGGTGACAGAGTGAGATTCCAACTCAAAAAAAAAAAAAAGAAAGAAAGAAAGAGGGTCTTGCAGTTCACAGAGTATTTTTCACGAGCAAGGGAAACATAACTGCCCTCATGCAAAAAACAAAGCTGTAAAAGGATGAAGGGGAGAACCAGGCCATTTATATAAGGATGAACTGGATGTATGGAGCTGGATTCCTGGGGATCTTGTTGGCCATGAAGCAGATTACACAAGCCCAGCTGAGTTCATTTCTCAGTTTGTTCTCTCTCACTCTCCCTCCATGAGTGGAGATATGAGGTTGGCTGCTGCCTCTGCAGTGCCTTCCCCTCCTCTGGCACGTGGCAGGAGGAGGAACTCCACACCCAGCCTCTTCTCCCGAGGGCCTGGCTCACGTGCACAGCTGTGTGACCCAGCTTCCTGGCAGCCAGCATGGGGTTGGGGGTGGGGAGGTGGTGGCTGCTCGCTTGGCAGCAGTGGCAGCAGCAGGAGGGTGACAGCTCTGGCAGGGAAGGGGAGGAGGGGGTTTCCTCCTAGGCTCTCTGAAACCACAGAGGCCTGTCCCCAAGGGAGGAGGCACCTCTGGAGTTGTCAGCTCCCTGTAGGAGAGCCCTCTAAAGCCCCTGAGCAGCACGAAAAAGCGTGGCCTGGAAACCCAGATACTCAGGAAAACCCTGGAACCCATCTTAGGTACAGACGCTGGACCTATGAGAACAGAGGACCAGCGGAGGGGAGACAGACAGGGTCCACTGAGGTCATAGGGCAGCTGCTGAGAAGCAGGATGGAGGTGGCAGCGTGAGGCCCAGATGGGACTAGAGTAGATCTATGAGGATCTGGAGTGGGTCCTAACTGTTTCCATACCCTGGGCCTAATGAGCCTTTCGGCCAACCAAATCGGGTAGGGCTCTTTGTGACTGGCTCTACAGGCCCCATCTCTGGCCCCTTCACCTCCAGTTTCTAGAAAATGCCATTCCTCATGAGCCAGGTGGCCCTATTGCTGAACTTCTCTGAGTTCTGCTCAGTAGAGGCCCAAATCACTAACCCTCACAATTGGCAACCTGACCCCTGGGACCCATCTCTTACCTGTCCAGGTCGTACAGGGTATGAGAGTTCTCAGTCACCACCTCCACACCAGCCTCCTTGGCCATCTTCATGATGGCTGCATCACGCTCTTTCCCAAAGGGTTCGGAGTCATATTCAAAGGTCAGGCGGGTCACCCCCCATTCCTGGGGAAGAGAATCCATTATACTCAACGCTGTGTTTGAGGAGGAGGGGGAAGCTGGGCACTCAGTTCTTCCTTGAGAAGGCACAGAGCCAGTCTAGAAGCCTGTCAGATGGGCAGCAGAACAATCTGGGGGCAGTGATTTGAACAGGAAAGCAAACGCTGGAAGCGCAGAAAGTTTGAGGAGGTCAGGCCAGTGAGGCCAACAGCACAGTGACAGTGGAGTCAGGAAAGGCAGGTGGCTTTGTGTACTTAGAGCGTCCTTGAGGTATGAGAGTGCAGTAGGCTATAAATATAATGCTCCCGGGGGACCCCCATCCCAGCAAGAGGCACTGGCTCACTGTGAAGACAGCAGGGGTCAGGACCACCACCTCCCGCCAACTTGGTAAGTTTTTCCCAGAGCTTCACACGGCCCTACAGACTCATGGCCTAGTTTTCTTGGCAGACTTGTGCTATGTGAAGTATCTTAATGGTTTCCACAGCAACACTCCTGAGACCAGTAGCAAACAGAGTTAACAGGCTCCAGATCTCAGAGAGTCAGGGAAAGAAGAGTGAGCCTTAGGCCAGAGGTCAGAGAAAACTGGCCAAGGGGCTGTGTGTTGAAAAGATAGGAATTCTCTTCTAAGTCTTTAGTCATTTCTGGTAGGAATTTCTAGATCTCATAGCAAGCTGGCCCAGTGAAAGATTGTACAGACAACCAGAAGACGCTCTAGAGCATGCAACTAGCAAGAAGAAAAACATATTCTAACTAAAGCCTCCGGTCATGGTGCCTTAAAGCTATGAACGCCTGGGGACAAATGTCTGGCCATGCACAGGCTGGTCTGGTACTGACTTAGCCCTGCCTGAGGGATGGGCTCTTAGCAGGGTCAGTTATCCCTCATTCAAGGATAGCAGCACTAATATTTGTTGAGCCCTTACTATAAGCCAGGTACCATGATTGGTGGTGTGTATAGATTACATGGTTACATACTCATAGTAAAATAACCCTATTATTAAATGATGCCCTCTCCAAGAAGCCTTCCTCACCCTCCTCCTTTAATACAATTCTCTTGTACCTTGTCCTTTTTCCATCACGGCATCTATCATACAACAATGAAGCTGCCCATTCCTCACCGGTTCCCCCATTAGTATGAATTCTCAGAGCAGAAATCATCTCTGTCCCACTCGTACCTAGTATGGGCCTTGCAACTAGCAAAAGTGCAATGAATACACATTGAACGGCTGAATGAATGACCTATCCATATCTCTGGGCTGTAACAGGGTTGGCCTCTGAATTACTAGGGGAGAGGAGGAGCCGTGTGGAGGGAGAGTGGCAAATGTACCTGTACTGCATGGGGTTAAGAACACAGCTATGAAGTCAGAGTCTGAGATCACCATGTAGTAGCTTCATGACCAACGATTGCTTCTTAACCTGTAAAACTGGGACAGCAGTACCCACCTCTTAGGGCTACTGTGAGGAATAAGTGAGTTCATGCAAACGAGCACTTGGAACAGTGCTTGACTCATAGGTAGCCCTCAATGAATGTTGGCAATTACTAGTGCTGTATGACTTGTATGTGTGTGGGAAGAGAACCAAATGATGTTGTGTTTACTGAGCCATTAGCCTTTTCCTCCTGTCTCAGAGTTGGGGTGGAGAGAGGCGTAGAAACTATCGTGTGCTGCTGAGGATGGAGGGAGTCCATCCTGGAGCCCTCTGTCCATGAGTACTCGTACCTCTGCTTGGGACTTAAAACACACTTTCAAAAAGATTGGGGGAAAAGTGAACTCGCTCCCTGATATAGCAAACAGAAACCTATATGGTACTGAAACAAAGATTTTTATCAAATATTTACCCAGGAGACATAGGGAAGAAGTGCTCTCAGAAAGGTTGGTTTTTTCCCAATAAGCAGAGCAAAGCAAGATGGGAAACACCCCTTGCTTGACATGGAACCCCACCCTCAAAGTCTTGGTCTAGAAAGAGCCCTAATAAATCTTGCTGGTTTGAGCCAAGAAAACAACCTCACTCAATCTGGGGGGAGCCCTAAGGAAGCCAGAGGCATCGGGGTGGAATGACTTACCACATCCTATGTCTAGGCTGAGCTGGGAACTTTGCAACAAGACACTGGTTTCACAGAATTTTCTCCTTAACACAGTTTCCATTCCAAGGGCAAGCTGACAGGCTGCCTTTGTCCTAATTCTCTAGCAGTAGTGGCCAGCCCAGCGTGATGTTTCCATTTCCTCAGTCAGAATATGATCTCACTCAATCTGGGAGGAGCCCTAGAGAGCAGATCTCACTGTCTTCTCGGGAGCCCAACACACTCACCTTGAACAGCCTTGGGAACACATCGGCAGGCTGTCCCCGAACTACAAACAGGCGGGAGTTCAGTTTCCTTAAGCTTGTGTCCAAATCTTCCAGAGACTGAAGTAGGAACCTGCGGAGTTCACACAGGCCTTGTTAGTGATAGCATCATAAAGAGTAGCTCGCTTTCCTAATAAAGCTGGGAGAAACTGGCTCACTGCTTATGCCAAACAAGTGGCATCACGAGTACCAAGACAGGGACACCTGGGTTCTAGCCCAGGAGTGCTGTGGAAGTGGATCAGTGTTGCTGCGGCTGAAAGCCTGGCCTTGCCACTACTAGCTGGGTGACTTCAGGCAATGACTTAATTTCTTTAGCTAGTTTTCTCATCTATAATATGGAGCTGATGTTAGGACCTATATTATAGGATTGCTAAGAAAAGAAAATCAAATAATGTGTGGAAAACATTTAGCACAGTGCCTGACACATCAAAATCATGGGCCAAGTGTGAACTCTTCCTAGCGTGCATCTCTCTGCCATTAGGGACAAGTCATTTATTCCCTCTCAGCCTCAGGCTGGATGTACATATCTGCCCAGCACGAGCTTGTCATTAGAACCACATGGGAGCCAACTGAAACACAAGTGCAATACATGGTGCGGATGCATACCAGTCCTATGAGCGGAGGAACAAGACTGCCGCAGCCTGGAGAATCCTACCCACTCTGGCCCCGCCCCGCAGACTCCTCGCCTTTCTGTACTCATGCTTTGGGCTGCGTGTTTTCTGCTGCCACAGCCCCATGGCCCAGGCCGGTCCCCAGCCCCCAGAGCAGGTAATTCTCTCTCCAGGCCTCTGGTAACCAGGTTTTCCTCCCAGGAGGGAGAAGGCCTTAGAAGGTACTTCTTGACAGGTATCTTCACATGCTTGCGGGGGTAGAGATTGGGTAGGGGGCAGGGAAGACTACAGATACACAAGCACCCAGCAGGACAGCTAGGAAAGGGGAAAGGAAAAGTAAGCTAACATTTACTGAGTATCTACAGCGTTTTATTTTTAAATCCAGTTAACATTACAACCAGATAAACTATTCATGACTCAAAATTCCAGTGACAAAAGGGTACAGAGTAAAAAGTGTCCTCCTCCCCTTCTTCCCTCCCCAGAGGCAACCAAGGTCATGGATGTGATTAAGGATCTGTCATGCCTTTTAAGTGCATTTTCTTATATAATTCTCTCAACACATTTTGAAGGGAAGTAGTATTATCCTTATTTTTTAGGTGAGAAAACTGAGACATCAGGAAGTTAACTAATTTGCCTAACATCCTAGCTGTTAAGTGACAAAGCTGGGATGGGAACCTAGCTTGGTCAGACTCTGAACCCCACGTTTTCTTCTCTGCCTCAATTCCAAAGACTTCTAGCATGCAAACTCTGTCCCAGGGGCTGAGATTCTGCAGGACTGCACAGGTTTCGTGTCCTTTCTCAAATACCAACCTGACTACAGATATCCCACTGGTCAGGTCAGCCTGCATCAGTCACAGACGCCTCCAAGGCACCGGCTGTCCACCCCCGGCACCTCCCGCCCATCCCCACCATTCTTCATCTCTGGCAACAATAGGAATCACCAGATTTATTTTGAGTGCAATGAATCCCTGTGCCTCCTCAGAAGCATGTCACAATATGTGATTACTGGAGGCTTAAAGAAGCAGTGACTGTTCTCAGGCTGCCAGCAAGGGCCAGCCCACACTGCCTCTGACGTACACAACCTGACACACTCCCACAGCCAATACCTCAGATCCACATCCCAGTATGAGCTGCGTCCCAGCCTTGCCCCAAAGCATCACATTAGCTGAAGAGCATGCTGGAGACTCCCAGGGGTTGGGATGGGAGACTGACAGGCTAAATGCTGCTTTATACAAACCAAAGCTCTGTCTCTGTAAATTTCTGTTGCTGAAAAACTGACACCCCCAGAAAAGGAAAAAGCAACTGCAAGTGGCACACTGGTGTTCACCTCCTCCAGGCCTCCCCAGACACCCAGAAGGAAAATAAGAGACACCCATGTGAATAGCCTCATGCCACCTGAAACCTAGGCCCTGCCAGGTGGGATGCCTAGAAATAAACCCCAGGACAGGGGGTCCTTCATCTGTGGTTCCCAGCAGTGTCCCTGCCATGCACTTGGAGAGCCTCATTCTTCACAGTCCACCAGGCGGCAAAGGACTTGGATTTGAAGCTATAAATAAGGCTGAAATGCGCATTAAATCTAGGTTCAAGAACATGTAGCAATCTGCCTTCCAGAGGGCTTTAATTCTTTTCTTTTTTTTTGAGTTGGAGTCTCACTCCGTCGCCCAGACTGGAGTGCAGTGGCCGCTCCCGGCCACCGCAGCCTTGACCTGCTGGGCTCCGGGAATCCTTCTGCCTCAGCCTTCCAAGTAGCTGGAACTACAGGCGCGCGCTACCACGCCCGGCTCATTTTTTGATTTATTGTAGAGATGAGGTCTCGCCAAATTGCCCAGGTGGGTCTCGAACCCGTGGGCTCAGGCAATTCACTCACCTCAGCCTCCCAAAGGCGTGGGATTACAGGCTGAGCCACCAAGCCCGGCTAGAGGGCTTTATTTCTAGGCCTCATTTACTAAAAGGAGAGATTCCTTGCAGAATCTCTAAAGTGCAGATAATTCTATGGGAGCCCTTTTTTTCTTTGACGAGAGATGTCTATAGCTGAGGCAGGAAGCAGAAGGCCCAACTCTGAACCCAGCATTATCATTAATAATAATGATAATGATAACAACAACCAATATTTAATAAGTGTTTACACTGACAGGCACCACTCTACTTGTTTGACAGACACTGCCTCATTTAATTCTCAAATAGTCCAATGAAGTAGGTACTGTTATCATTCCCACTTTACAGACTGGGGAACTGAGACAGAGAGAGAGATTAAGTAACATGCCCAATATCATATACCTCATAAGCAGTCAGAATTCAAACCCAGGCAAATCTGTCAGCCTCAGTGCATTTGTTCTTAACCACCAGGCTCCACTGCCTCTCAACAAACAGCCTAGCACTGAGGCCATGTTGCCCAGGGTTCAGCCATTAGGGAGCATCACAGCCCAACTCAAAGGCCAACACCTTCGCTGCCAGATCTTTGCTCCTCTAAGTGTGTCTAACAATGAACGGCACTGGCTGTGAATCATCCAGGCGCTTGCTGACATGAAGACTCTCAGGCTCCAACCCAGACCTCCAAAATCAGAATCTGTATTTTAGCTAGATCCCTTGGTGATTCATTGGCACATTAAACTCTTAGAAGCACTGCCCTAGAAAACCGAACTTATTTCTAGGCTCTGTTTATAAGTTGCCTTTCTCTGAGTTTAATTTGTTTCTACCAGGTTTCTGCCTCCTCTGTGGCCCTCTAGAAATGCTCTGCTCCTTCCAACTTCCTTAGAGTCAAGCCCTACCGTGCCCCTCTGGGAAGGAGGGGGCTCAGATTGCCCCACAGGTGGCAATAGGCAGGAGATACAAAGCGGCTCCTGGTATCCCCAGGCTCCAACCAACCAGAGAAAAGGAAGTCACTGCAACAGCACCACCTTTGAGGCCTGCCAGATGACAGCTTTGCATCACATTTGGAGCGGTGTTGCTACTGGGCAAGTGCTCACTGGGGCAGGTGTGCACATTCTTTCACCAGAGAGAACCTCAGGTCTTCTGTGGTCCTTCGGAGCCCAATGTATTCAGCCAATTTCACTTCAATGAGGGCACTCTAAAGGAAGCTCACCTGGGCACTGGAGGGTTGGGCCTCATCCTTGGCAGCTCCATGCTGAGCTCACATGGCCAAATTCAGAGCAAACGGTCCTGTGTGAGCAAAGCTCACCCTTTGGATTAGACAACATGTGCAACCGAATTACATTATGTAAGTGCTCTACAGCCAGAGGCTGACAGAGCTGCAGAAAACCAAACTGGGATTTCCAAAAATACAGCAAGGACTCTGTAATTCAGGAACTCTAAGAGGTTTGTCCTTCAGAATAAAATGGGTAGCTCCTTTGGCTAAGTATGTACTTATATTTAGGGACGGTCTTCTCTGGGGAGTGCAGATTCTGTGTTGAGGAATGTTTTGTTTATTTGTTGTTAATGAGGGGAGGGAGGATGAGAGTGAAATCTCCTGGGTCCAGACTCCCCTTGACCAAGTTCCTCTGCTTCAAGTCAAGGTTATCTAACCATAATGATGATACCATTGGCAGGCACAGATTGGCTACACAGGATATCAACAGATCTTAATTTCTCCTGAGTAATTAAAGAGTAATTAAATCTATGGAAAAGAACAACCTAGCCACAATCCATGGCAGGGATCTGTTTCTAAGTTTCTGAATGACACATAGAAATACTGAATATTAGATACCAATATTTAATATTTAAATTTAATATTAAATACTAATTAAATACTTAAATTAAATATATTTATTCCTTCCTAATTTCAAAGAGAAAGATGTAGAAGGTTTTCATCCCTGTTGGGCAAATGGAAACATTTCCCTGGCAGCAGAACAGTCAAGTACCCCACTCAGGTACCTGTGTGAATAACTCAGAGAAATTCAAATTTCCCCACCAGGAGACAACAGTTCTCAACCCCATTCTCAATAGTCCAACAGTGTTTAGCTCCCAGCATTTGGGAAAAGAGACACACTTGCTCTCACCCAGACATCCTGGGAGTTCCTAGGTGACCTCATTTACCAGTTCTGAGAGAGAACAGATTTATTTCTACCAACTCCCCCTGTCCTGGAAACTGAAAGAGGTGCAGCACACAGTCAGGGACAAAATGATTTAAGGAGAATAATTACCAACATCCACCTAAGTTTCAGTAGGGAAAGAAAGGTAATACACAACTGCAAGGGCCATTTTAAAATCTAGAAGCTGCTTCCATCTTCCTTTTGTTGTGTGTCTTACTCTTTCAAATTTGGGGAAGGTGGGGCTTGAAACAGAAAAGCCTTAGCCAACTGTTTCTTGGGAAAAAAAGTCCTGAGGCTCATATGGCTACGGTGAGCCCCTAAACTTCCCACCACCACCACGGCAAGGAGAATGACAGCCTTCTCCCATGCTAATAAACACAACACTTCTTGGCTGCCTTTCCCTGTTCCCTTTTAATTTTTTAAAGTGCCACTCGTGGTTA